GGCGCTCCAACAACTGGTACCGGAGACTGGTTCTAATGTAATGACAGGTTCCAGGCGATCGATGGGGATAGGGGCCTCTCTAGTCAGAGGCACAGAGAGACGTTTCTGTGGCTGGTGCTGAGGCATCAGAATGGTGTGTTGTCTTCCTGGTGCCAGGGTCAAGGATATCACAGAGAGGGTGCAGAATATTCTCAAAGGGGAGAGAGACAAGCAGGATGTTGTTGTACACGTTGGAACTAATGACATGGGAAGAGAAAAGGACAAGATTCTGAGGAGAGAAATATAGGAAGTTAGGCAGGAATTGAAAAAGGAGGTCCTCGAGGGTAGTAATATATGGATTACTCTCGGTGCCATGAGCTAGTGAAGGTAGGAATAGGAGGATAGAGCAGATGAATGGCTGAGGAGATGGTGCAGGGGAGAAGGATTCACTTTTTTGGATCTTTGGAATCTTTTCTGGATTAGAAGTGACCTGTATAAGAAGGATGGATTGCCCCCGAATTGGAAGGGGACTAATATACTGGTGGGGAGATTTGCTAGGGCTGCTCGGGAGGATTTAAACTAGTAACGGGGGGGGGGGGGGGGGGGGGGGGGGGAGGGTGTGTGTGTGAGAGTATGTGTGTGTTTGGGTGTGCATGTGGGTGTATTTGGGTGTGTGTCAGTGTGTCTCAGAGAGATAGTGAGAAAAGGGAGTCTAAAGCTGCTGCAGTTGGGAAAAGGAGCAAGTCAAAGAGTCAGGAACAAAGCAGAGAGAATAAGGTAGCGCTGATAAATTAAACTGCATTTATTTCAATGCAAGAACCCCATCAGGTAAGGCAGATGAACTCAGGGCATGGTTTAGAACATGGGACTGGGATATCATAGCAATTACAGAGATGTGGCTCAGGGATGGACAGGACTGGCAGCTTAATGTTCCAGGGTATAGATGTTACAGGGTATAGATGTTACAGGAAGGATAGAAAGGAGCGCAGGAGAGGAGGGGAGAGGCGTTTTTGATTAGGGATAACATTACGGCTGTACTCGGAGGATATTCCTGGGAATACATCCAGGGACGTTATTTGGGTGGAACTGAGCAATAAGAAAGGAATGAACACCTTATTGGGATTGTATTATAGACCCCCCAGTAGTCAGCAGGAAACTGAGAAACAAATTTGTAAGGAGGTCTCAGTTATCTGTGAGGCGTTTTAACTTTCCAAACATAGACTGGGACTGCCATAGTGCTAAGAGCTTGGATGGAGAGGAATTTGTTAAGCGTGTATAAAAAAATTTTCTGGTTCAGTATGTGGATGTACCTTCTAGGGAAGGAGCAAAACGTGATCTACTCTTGGGAAATAAGGCAGGGCAGGTGAATGAGGTGTCAGTGGGGGAGCACTTTGGGGCCAGTGACCATAATTCTACTAGCTTTAAAATAGTGATGAAAAAGGATAGATCTAAAAGTTAAAGTTCTAAATTGGAGGAAGGCCAATTTTGATGGTATTAGGCAAGAACTTTCAAAAGTTGATTTGGAGGGGTGTGGATGTTCACTGGAAAATGGGAGGCATTCAAAAATGAGATAACGAGAGTCCAGGGACAGTATGTTACTTTTGGGTAAAGGGCAAGGCTGGTAGGTGTAGGGAATGCTGGATAACTAGCGAAATTGGTCAAGAAAAACAAGGTATAGATAGCCGAGGTCGAGTGTATCCTTAAAAGAGTATAAAGGCAGTAGGATCAGACTTAAGAGGGGAAATCAGCAGGGCAAAAAGAGAACATGAGATAGCTTTGGCAAATAGGGTTAAGGAGAATCCAAAGAGATTTTTATAAATACATTAAGGACAAAAAAGTAACTAGGGAGAGAATAAGGCCCCTTAAAGATAGCAAGGCTGCCTATGTGTGGAACCATGGGAAATTGCAGAGATACTAAACGAATATTTTGCAAGAGTGTTTACTGAGGGGGAGGATATGAGAGATATAGAATGTGGGGGGACTAAATAGCAACATCTTGAAAAATGTCCAGAGGTGCTTAACAGTAAAGGTGGATAAATCCCCGGGACCTGCTCAGGCGTACCCTAGAGCTCTGTGGGAAGCCAGGGAAGTGATTGCTGGGCCCCTTGCTGAGATATTTGTATCATCGATAGCCACAGGAGAGGTGCTGGAAGACTGGAGGTTGGCAAACATGGTGACACTACTTAAGAAAGGTTGCAAGGAAAAGCCAAGGAACTATAGACCAGTGAGCCTGACATTGGTGGTGGGCAAGTTGTTACAGGGAATCCTGAGGGACAGGTTTTACATGCATTTGGAAAGGCAAGGACTCATTAGGGATAGTCAATATGGCTGTGTGCATGGGAAATCGTGTCTCACTAACTTGATGGAGTTTTTTTGAATAAGTAACAAAGAGGATTGATGAGGGCAGAGCGATGATGTGGTCTATATGGACTTCAGTAAGGCATTCGACAAGGTTGCTCACGGTAGACTGGTTAGCAAAGTTAGATCACACGGAATACAGGGAGAACTAGCTATTTGGATACAGAACTGGCTGGAAGGTAGGATACAGAGGGTGGTGGTGGTGGGGAGGATTGCTTTTCAGACTGGAGGCCTGTGACCTGAAGTGTGCCACAAGGATCAGTGCTGGGTCCACTGCTTTTCATCATCTATATAAATGATTTGGATGAGAACATAGGAGGGATGGTTAGTAAGTTTGCAGACGACACTAAAATTGGAGATGTAGTGGGCAGTGAAGAAGGTTACCTCAGAGTACAACAGGACCTTGATCAGATGGGCCAATGGGCCGAGGAGTGGCAGATGGAGTTTAATTTAGATAAATGTGAGGTGCTGCGTTTTGGAAAGGCAAATCAGGGCAGGACTTATACACTTAATGGGCAGGTCCTGGGGAGTGTTGCTGAATAAACAGACCTTGGAGTGCAGGTTCATAGCTCCTTGAAAGTGGAGTCGCAGGTAGACAGGGTAGTGAAGGATGTGTTTGGTACACTGGCCTTTATTGGTCAGTGCATTGAGTATAGGAGTTGGGAGGGTCATGTTGCAGCTGTACAGGACATTGTTTAGGCCACTTTTGGAATACTGTGTGCAATTCTGGTCTCCCTGCTATAGGAAGGATGTTGTGAAATTTGAAAGGGTTCAGAAAAGAAAAACAAGAATGTTGCCAGAGTTGGAGGGTTTGAGCACTGGCGACTGAGGCGGGGGTGACCTTATAGAGGTTTATAAAATCATGAGGGGCATGGATAGGGTAAATAGACAAGGTCTTTTCCCCAGGGTGGGGGAGTCAAAACTAGATGGTATAGGTTTAAGGTGAGATGGGAAAGATTTAAAAGGGACCTAAGGGGTAACTTTTTCACAGAGGGTGGTGCGTGTATGGAACGAGCCTCCAGAGGAAGTGGTGGAGGCTGGTACAATTACAACATTTAAAAGGCATCTAGATAGGTACATGAATAGGAAGGGTTTAGAGGGATATGGGCCAAGTGCTAGCAAATGGGACCAAATTAATTTAGGATATCTGGTCAGCATGGACTGGTTGGACCGAAGGGTCTGTTTTCGTGTTGTACATCTCTACGATAACAGTCAAGAAGCTTGACACCATCCAGGACAAAGCAGCCCCCACTTGATTGGCACCACATCCATAAGCATCCAGTCTCCACCATCGACGCTCAGTAGCAGCAGTGTGTACCATCTACAAAATGCACTACAGAAATTCACCAAAAATTCTTAGACAGGACCTTCCAAACCCATCACCTCTTACCATCCAGAAGGACAAGGGCAGCAGATACATGGGAACGCCACCATCGGCCATATCCCCCTATAATCCTGACTTATGCTGTAAATAAAGTATAACAGTGATGCGTACGCCCTGTTGCACTTGGAAATATATCACTGCTCCTTCAGTCTTCCTGAGTCTCTTTTTCTCTCTGGGAGTTGTGCACGGGGAACCTGCAGAATCCCCATCGTCGCAGACTGTGAAGGAATTGTCCAGGAAATCTAAGGTTCTGTTGCATAGTTCCTCTGTACCTGAGACCTGTGGGGTTTGCACATTCTCCCCGTGTCTGCTCAGGTTTCTTCCCACAGTCCAAAGATGCGCACGTTAGATGGATTAGCTGCGCTAAATTGCCCCACAGTATCCAGGGATGTGCAGGTTCGGTGGATTACCTATGGAAAATGCAAGGCTACAGGGATAGGGTAGAGGGGTGGGTCTGGGTGCAACATTCTCCAGAGGGTTGGTGTGGACTCGATGGGCTGAATAGCCTGCTTCCACACTGTAGGCATTCCATAGTTTTACGTTTAAGTCAGAAAATTCATAGGATACCAACAAAATTATTGTAAATAATTACAGCAAACTGTTTTAACTGGCACCTTATGAATCAGCACCCTCGATAAACCGGTAAAAGATTATATACCTGAGATACGGGATGTTTACTGTATTGTCGTGATGTCTGTGTAGTCAGTCGAGAACGAGAGGGAGAAGGCTTTCTGCCAGTAAGTGTTATTTAAGGCAAGGTTATGCTTTTATTTAAGTGACTTATGCTGTAAATAAAGTGCACTATGTTTCAATTACTGTGTGTGTTTTTACATTAAAAGGTCCACATTATCAATCAAACTAATATTTGATTAACTATCAAACTCCTGGTCCCATCGGTGCTGGTTAATGAAGCATACACTATACTCAGAAAAAGCTGAGCCCATTAGACTTTTGCCAAGGCACTCAAGGCTATGGGCCAAGTGCTGAAAAACGGTATTAGAGTGGTTAGGTGGTTGTTTTTGACTGGCACAGACGCAATGAGCCTCTTTCTGTGCTATGACTCTTGTTGAACTCCCAAGTAATGGCTGAACCAACCCCCAAAATTAACCCACAGCCCATCAACTACACCGCCCCGAGGCAATGTATGCCCCTTAGATTAACCTGACACTCCCAGGGCACAACAGCTCCACCACACTCTGAACCGGATAGCCCCCATTCCCCTGCTGGACGGGAAACCTCACCCCCACCCCCAGGCCCTGGCCACCTAACTCCTGTCTCCCATTTTGGACCCGATGGTCAGTGGGGCCCAGTCCCACCCCTCCCCTGCTCTGTATCAACTCTGCCTCTCCACCACCAGCTCATCACACCCTTCCAACAACAGTTTGTGCTGGACAATAAAAACTCAGACAAATCCCATTTGGAATTAAACAGGAGAGACAGTGTAGAAGGAGCTTTACTCTGTATCTAACCCCATGCTGTCCCTGTCCTGGGAGTGTTTGATGGGGGGACAGTGTAGAGTGAGCATTACTCTGTATCTAACCCTGTGCTGTCCCTGTCCTGGGAGTGTCTGATGGGGGGACAGTGTAGAGGGAGCTTTACACTGTATCTAACCCTGTCCTGGGAGTGTCTGATGGGGGGACAGTGTAGAGTGAGCATTACTCTGTATCTAACCCTGTGCTGTCCCTAACCTGGGAGTGTCTGATGGGGGGGGGGGGGGGGGAACAGTGTAGAGGGAGCCTTACACTGTATCTAACCTGGGAGTGTTTGATGGGGGCCATCAGAAGGGAGCTTTATTTTCAGTTTAAAAGGAGGGAGGAGGCTTTATCTGTATCTGACCCCGTGCTGGACCTGCCCAGGAAGTGTTTGACAGGGGCGGTGTTGTGCACACTTTACTTTCAGTTTAAAAGCGTAGAGAGAGCTTTACTCCCTGTCTAACAGCATGCAGTACCTGTCCAGGGAGTGTGTAGAGAGAGCTTTATTCTGTTGCTTACCTAGAAATACAAAGAGAGAGGGAGGGAGAGAGGGAGACAGAGACATAAAAATATTATAAAAATTAGACTATTTATTTCCAGAAATTGGTAAGAGTGAATTTCACTAGAAAATCAAGAACAGATTTAAAGCACATTTTGTATTTTTAAATACACATACACACACACACACACACACACACACACACACACACACACGTAAACATCAGCCCACTCACTTACCAATACATGTTGCCCCATACAATTCAAATACAAACATTGCCACAATCCATTCAAATACAAATGTTACGGTGATTGGTTCAAATACAAGCACCACCCTACACCATTTAAATATAGAGACAGTCACACTCCATCTATTTACAAGCCTCCAGCACCACTCAGCTTAAAAAAAACCAAGTACCACCCCATGGAACCTGTCTCGTTTCTATTAGAGGGGGACGTCACTTGGGGCTCAGCTGTGATGCCTCACCCAGCTGAACACCCTTCAGTGCTTTGCTTTGAGATGGAGCGGGCTGGGAGTCAGGCTGTCACCCTGCACGTGCAGTTCCAATTGTCGCTGTGCGTACACACTCCCGCACAGATGCTCACATGCAAATACAGGTGCACACCTGTGTGCACGCACGCGCGCACACACACACACACACACACACACACACACACAGAGACAGACAAAACTGCTACCAAGGCAAATGATCTAGACGCCACCAATTGAGAGGGGAGCAGACTCAATCCCAACACCATCCCAAACTTCCCAAATCTCTCTGGAGTCTTGTGATAAATCCGGTCAGTGGTCTTGTGCGTGGGTCTCTCGCACAGACGGTCACGTGCCTCCTAAGGCTCTGCTGGCTCCAGCCTCTTGCCCCTTGGCACTCTGGGCCAGTGGTCCACGCTGAGTGCTGCCTGTCGCACTGGGGCCCGGGCCGATGTCGGCGGTGATGTTGGTGAACAACGGCAACCGTTGCCGGCTCAGCGTCACATAGGTCAGGGAGTTCATCCCATCCTGTCTCCAGGATCTCCGGGTCCGGAACAAAAGGTCAAACCTGGGAGGGAGGACACAGAAAGACAGACGGAGAAAGTGAGGAAAGAACGAGGGTGGGGAGAAAAAGTAAATAAAGGTGGAATGTTGGCTAAAAAAAAAAAGAGAGAGAGAGAGACAGACACAGAAGAGGGGAGAGTGGGCAATGTAAACGGGGAAAAAGGACAGAGACACAAAGACAAATAGGCAAAGGGAGCAGTGGACACAGAAAGATCAAGAAATAGACAGGGAGGGGAGCCACAGAGAAAGACAGTAAGAGAGATGATGATAGGAAAGAGAGAGAAGGAAAGACAGACAGAAAGAAAGAGAATATTGTCAGCGATTTTATTTGTTCAGCAGACATGGGCTTAACTGGCTGGGCCCAGCATTTATTGCCCCCTGTCCCGAGTTGCCCCCCTTGAGAAGGTGGAGGGGAGCTGCCTCCTTGAACCCTTGCAGTCCATGTGCTGTGGGTTGACCCACAATGTCCCCTTAGGGAGGGAATTCCAAGATTTTGACCCAGCGACACTGAAGGAACGGCGATATATTTCCAAGTCAGGATGGTGAGTGGCTCAGAGGGGAACTTGCAGGGGGTGGGGGTCCAATGTATCTGCTGCCCCTTGTCCTTCTGGATGGAAGTGGCCGTGGGTTTGGAAGGTGCTGTCTGAGGATCTTTGGTGAATCTCTGCAGAGCACCTTGTAGATGGTACACACTGCTGTGACTGAGCGTCGGTGGGGGGAGGGAGTGGGATGTTTGTGGATGTGGTGCCAATCGAGCGGGGGCTGCTTTGTCCTGGATGGTGTCGAGCTTCTTGAGTGTTGTTGGGGCTGCCCCCATCCAGGGGCAAGTGGGGAGTATTCCATCACACTTCTGACTTGTGCCTTGTAGATGGTGGGACAGGCTTTGGGGGAGACAGGAGGGGAGTTACTCGCTGCAGGATTCCCAGCCTCTGACCTGCTCTTGTAGCCGCTGTGTTGATGTGGTGGGTCCAGTTGAGTTTCTGGTCAATGGTAACCCCCAGGATATTGATAGTGGGGGGATTCAGTGATGGTAACACCATTGAATGTCAAGGGGTGGTGGTTAGATTGTCTCTTATTGGTGACGGGCATAGCCTGGCATTTGTGTGGCGTGAATGCCACTTGTCAGCCCAAGCCTGCATATTGTCCAGATCTTGTTGCATTTGGACATGGACTGCTTCAGTATCTGAGGAGTCACGAATGTTGCTGAACATTGTGGAGTCATTGGCGAATATCCCCACTTTTGACCTTTTATTTTCATATTCACTGATGGGATGTGGGTGTTGCTGGCTAGACCTGGCAATTATTGCCCATCTCTAATTGACCCAGAGGGCATTTAAGAGTCAACCACTTTGCTGTTGGCCCAGAGTCGGTCAGATCAGATCAGGATGGGAGAATTTCTTCCTGAAGGGCACGAGTTGTTTTTTCTGGAAAGACAATTAGCAGTAGCTGCAATTTGCCACATAAACGCAGTTTCCTCCCCCACACTAGAGGGAGTCTAATGAGTCTATACGTTATAAAATCATGAGGGGCATGGAAGGGTGAATAGACAAAGTCTTTTCCCAGGGTAGGGGAATCAAAACTAGAGGGGCATAGGTTTAATGCGAGGGGGGGAAAGATTTAAAAGGGACCTCAGGGGCAACATTTTCACGCAGAGGGTGGTGCGTGTCTGGAATGAGCTGCCAGAGGAAGTGGTGGAGGCTGGTACAATTTAAAAGACATCTGGATGGGGACATGGATAGGAAGGGTTTAGAGGGACATGGGCCAAATGCTGGAAAATGGGACCAGATTAATTTAGGATATCGGGTCAGCATGGACTAGTTGGACCGAAGGGTCTGTTTCTGTGCTGTACACCTCTATGATTGGGTTAGTGAAAATGGCAATCGTTGCTGTTTGAAACGGAGAAGGCTAGAATCCTTGGTAAATACCAACAGGCTCATCCTGGTTGGCAAACGATCCATTTGTGAAGAACTACCTGCCTGGACCCCCTCGGATACTGGAAACTAAGGGGAGTTTTTCCAGTGTGCTCCCCATCCCTCCAGGCCCCCGTCCCAGCCTGACCCCACACCCCACGCACTCCCCCCTACCTTTTGGGATTCTCTTCGTTACCCTTGTCCAATTTGTGTTTGATCATCTTGTATCGGCCCAGAGACAAGGCTGGGCGAGAGATCTTCATACCAGCCAAATGCAGCCTGTGGGACAGAGGGCTAAAGGTCAGTGTGGAAGCAGAGAGAGAGAGAGACAGCGTGGCGGGAGTGGGGGAGGTTGGGAGGGTGGGGGGAGATAGAGGGCAGTGCAGTGGCGGGGTTAGCAGGAGAGATGGCCAGCAGAGGCTGTCCTCTCAGGAGCGAGAGCAACATCAGCCTACGGGTGTCACAACTCAATGGAGGAAGTTGTGGGGAACGGGGAGGTGGAGGACATGTCAATGTGGGGTCCTTCTCTGAAGGATGGTGTGAAGGAGCGAGGGGCCAGCACAGTTTGTTCCCCAGGAGAGAGCAGAGAGCGAGAGAGAGCACGACAGCGGGAGGGTTTTCTAGGGAGGGAGAGACGGCGTGGGGAGGGAAGGAGGAATGGCGGGACGGCAAGGATCGGGGTTGAGGAACGGACTGCGGTTGGGGATGGAGGATAACTGTCAAAAGTAGAAAGCAGAGACAGAGAGGAGATAGTGAGTAGTAGAAAGGTAGGCATGAGAGGTAAAGTGCAGGAGACAAGAGAGGGTGAAAGGGGTACAGAGAGAAAGAGAGGAGAGCTAATGAAGAGGAGAAAGACAGGGGGAAAGAAAAAAAGTGAGGATAGCTGGGAAATGAGTAAGAGGAGAACAGGCAGTAATCAGTGAAGATACAGTCAGTAAAGGACACTGAGGAAAGAGCAGTAACTGAGTGAAAGCTTGAGCAAGCGAGATTGTATCTGTACTGATGTTAGTCATTAACACAGGGTGGTGGAGGGAGTGACACTGAGGGAGAGGGATTAACATCAGTACAGATACAGTCATTAACACAGGGCGCTGGGGGTGAGAGGGGTTACTGAGTGACTGAGGGGGCTGGGTTAACGTCAGCACAGATACAGTCAGTAACACAGGAGGCTGGAGGGGGGAAAGAGGTTACTGAGTGACACAGTGTGGGGGAGAGGGATTAACATCAGTAGAGATACAGTCAGTAACACAGGCGCCTGGGGGGAAAGAGGGGTTACTGAGCGAGTGTGAGGGGGCTGGGTTAACGTCAGTACAGATACAGTCAGTAACACAGGGCGCTGGGGGGCGGGGTTAAGGGTTACTGAGTGATTGCACAAAACTCACCTTTACATGCTGATGTCCCTGGAACATTGAAGGAGAAAGGGTTAGAGGAAGAGATACAGGAAGTCAGTGTGGAGTGAGGGAACAGGAGAGAATGATATATGAATGACAATGAAAACAATGAGAACAACAATGAGGCAGTAGGATTGAGTCACAGTGCGAAATGAGGAATGATCTTCCTCAACACTAAAATGCAAAACAGTGCAGGTGCTGGAAATCTGAAACAAACACAGAACGCTGGGGAAACTCAGCGGGTCAGGCAGCACGGAGTGGAGAGAGTGTTAATTTTTTGAGTCCAATATGACCCAAGTCCTTTACCCTCTGAAGACGTCACACCAGACTCAAAACGTTACCTCTGTTTCTCTCCCAACACATACTGCTGGAGAGTTTCTCCAGTATTCTCTGTTCCTGTTTCTCAACACTCACTCTCCCTATTTCACTCTCTCCCACCTTCAGTTTGTTCAGTGTTTTTCTTCCTTTCACCCTTGATCTCTCTGTCCCTAATTCCCTCTCCTCTGCTGTTCCTTTTCTTCAGCCCTCCAATCTCTCCCCCATTCTTTGCACGTACAGAACCTCTCTTGTTCTCCTCAATCACATTCCATCTTTCTCATGAGATTTGTCTGCTTCTGAAATCTTCCCTTCCCTTTGTCTCTGACAATTTCATCTCACCTTCAGTTTCTCTCATTACCCCTTTGTTTTCCCTCAGACACTATCAATCACATTCCGGTTTTTCCCCTGAAATCCACAGGAGTGAAATCCTGGCTGGAAGATAACTGAAGGGCTTCAGGGAGTTAGAATTTGGAATAACAGATACCCGGGAGGGAGTTACAGACTGGAATCTAATCGAGGGGTTCAGGCTGGGTTATATACAGAATAACAGATACCCGGGAGGGAGTTACAGACTGGAATCTAACCGAGGGGTTCAGGGTGGGTTACATACAGAATAACAGATACCCGGGAGTGAGTTACAGACTGGAATCTCATCAAAGGGTTTGGGCCAAGGGTTACCTGGTGGCGATGTCATCATCCTCTCCACCCCAGCCCCAGTATTCATTGGGGAAGCCATTCATCTGGAGATACTGTTCTGGTGTTACTGCTGATACTCCACCAAAGTAAGTCTTGTATGGAAGCCTGTAAGATAAACCAGTGTCAGTCTCAAACAGAAAATCAAACAGCATACTGATTGAGAAACACTTCTTTAATAGTGATTTCAGTGAGAGAGAGCCTGGGTGTGAAGGAACACCCCTTTATAGAGTCATGGAGTCATACAGCACAGAAACAGACCCTTCAGTCCAAACAGTCCATGCCGACTATAATCCCAAACTAAACTGGTCCCACCTGCTTTGGCTTGGTCCAAAGCTTTCTTATTCATGTACTTATCCAAAAGTCTTTTAAACATTGTAAGTGTGCCCAGATCCATCACTTCCTCTGGAAGTTCATTCCACACATGAACCACCCTCTGTGTTTTAAAAAAAAAAAAAAAAAAAAATTGCCCCTCATTTTTTAAAAGTCTTTCTCCTCTCACCTTAAGAATATGCCCTCTAGTTTTGAACTACCCCACCCTAAGGAAAAGACACCTGCCTTTCATCTTATGTATACCCCACATGATTTTATGAACCTCGATAAGGTCACCCCTCAAACTCTAATACTCCAGTGAAAAAAGTCCCAGCCTATCCGGCCTCTCCTTACAACTCAAACCCTCCATTCCCAGCAACATCCTGGTAAATCTCTTCTGAACCCTCTCCAGATTAATAATATCCTTCCTATAACAGGGCGACCAGAACTGGACACAGTGCTCCAGAAGAGGCCTCACCAATGTCCTGCACTAACTCAACACGACGTCCCAACTCCTAAACTCAAAGGTCTGAGCAATGAAGGCAAAGAGTGCTAAACACCTTCTTAACCACCCTGTCTACATGTTTTCAAAGAATTATGTACCTGAACACACCCTGTTCTACAACTCGACCCAAGGCTCTATGTTTAATTGCACAAGGTCTGCCCTTGTTTGTTTTACCAAAATACAATGCCTCACATTTATCCAAATTAAACTCCATCTGCCACTCCTCAGCCCATGGACCCAAGATCTGTTTGTAATTTTAGATAATCTTCTTTACTATCCACTGTGAGACTGGTGAGTTCAGTGGGTGCGATCTCACCTGTATCCGAACTTGTTCATAGCAATGGACACGTGCTTAGGATTTTCGGAGTCACAAACATAGAGGTTGTGGTCATTCTCTGGAATCAGGTCGATATCGTGGAGGAAGAGACAATCCCATTCCTCGTCTCGTAATGCCTCTTTCACCCCAACGTTGAGCAGCTTTGCCCTGTTGAAAGTCTGGTTTCCTGCCTGGGAGG